ATGAAACTTTTTCACATAAGCATTGCAACCCCAAACTTTAAGAAACGACAACTTTGGTTTCTTGCCAAACCACAGTTCATAAGGCATCATCTCAACGGATTTTGATGGTGCCCTATTTAACGTGAATGCAGCTGTCTCTAATGCATGACCCCAAAACGATAGTGATAAATCGGTAAGAAACATCATAGATTGTACTATATCCAATAAAGTACGGTTATGACGTTCGGACACACCATTATGCTGTGGTGTTCCAGGTGGCATGAATTTGTGAAACTATTCCACATTGTTTTAATTGAAGACCAAACTCGTAACTCAAATATTTGTCTCCGCGATCAGATCGTGGAAACCTTATCTTCTTGTCACGATGATTTTCCACTTCACTCTGAAATTCTTTGAACTGTTCAAATGTTTCAGACTTATGTTTCATCAAGTAGATATACCCATATCTACTTAAATCATCTGTGAAGGTCAGAAAATAACGATACCTGCCGTGAGTCTTAACACTCATCGGATCGCATACATCAGTATGTATTTTTTCCAATAAGTCAGTTGCTCGCTCCATTGTTCCGGAGGACGGAGTCTTAGTCATCTTGCCCATGAGGCATGGTTCGCAAGCATCAAGTGATTCATAATCAAGTGATTCCAAAATCCCATCAGCATGGAGTCTCTTCATGCGCTTTACACCAATATGACCTAAACGGCAGTGCCACAAACAAGTTGCACTATCATTATTAACTTTGCATCTTTTGGCTTCAATATTATGAATATGTGTATCATTACGATCGAGGTCCAACAAACCATTTTCGTTGGTGTGTATGACCATAGAAGGTTTTATTCATGTAAACAGAACAACAATTGTTCTCTAACTTAAATGAATAACCATATTGCAATAAACATGATCAAATCATATTCATGCTCAACGCAAATACCAAATAACACTTATTTAGGTTCAACACTAATCCCGAAAGTATAGGGAGTCTGTGATGATGATCATATCGATCTTGGAACCACTTCCAATACACATCGTCACTTCACCTTAACTAGTCTCTGTTTATTCCGCAACTCCTGTTTTGAGTTACTAATCATAGCAACTGAACTAGTATCAAATACTTAGGGATTGCTATAAACACTAGTAAACTACACATCAATAACATGTATATCAAATACACCTTTGTTCACTTTGCCATCCTTCTTATCCGCCAATACTTGGGGTAATTCCGCTTCCAGTGACCAGTTCCTTTGCAGTAGAAGCACTCAGTCTCAGGCTTAGGTCCAGACTTGGGCTTCTTCACTTGAGCAGCAACTCGCTTGCCGCTCTTCTTGAAGTTCCCCTTCTTCCCTTTGCCCTTTTCTTGAAACTAGTGGTCTTGTCTACCATCAACACTTGATGTTTTTCTTGATTTCTACCTTCGTTGATTTTAGCATCACGAAGAGCTTGGGAATCGTTTCCGTTATCCCTTGCATATTATAGTTCATCACGAAGTTCTACTAACTTGGTGATGGTGACTAGAGAATTCTGTTAATCATTATTTTATCTGGAAGATTAACTCCCACTTGATTCAAGCGATTGTAGTACCCAGACAATCTGAGCACATGCTCACTAGTTGAGCAATTCTCCTCCATCTTTTAGCTATAGAACTTTGTTGGAGACTTCATATCTCTCAACTCGGGTATTTGCTTGAAATATTAACTTCAACTCCTGGAACATCTCATATGATCTATGACGTTCAAAACGTCTTTAAAGTCCCGATTCTAAGCCGTTAAGCATGGTGCACTTAAACTATCAAGTAGTCATCATATTGAGCTAGCCAAACGTTCATAACGTCTGCATCTGCTCCCGCAATAGGCCTGTCACCTAGCGGTGCATCAAGGACATAATTCTTCTGTGCAGCAATGAGGATAAACCTTAGATCACGAATCCAATCCGCATCATTGCTACTAACATCTTTCAACATAATTTTCTCTAGGAACATATCAAAATAAACATATGAAAGCAACAACGCGAGCTATTGATCTACAACATAGATATGCTAATACTACCAGGACTAAGTTCATGATAAATTAAAGTTCAATTAATCATATTACTTAAGAACTCACACTTAGATAGACATCCCTCTAATCCTCTAAGTGATCACGTGATCCATATCAACTAAACCATGTCCGATCATCACGTGAGATGGAGTAGTTTCAATGGTGAACATCACTATGTTGATCATATCTACTATATGATTCACGCTCGACCTTTCGGTCTCCGTGTTCCGAGGCCATATCTATTATATGCTAGGCTCGTCAAGTTAAACCTGAGTATTCTGCGTGTGCAACTGTTTTGCACCCGTTGTATTTGAACGTAGAGCCTATCACACCCGATCATCACGTGGTGTCTCAGCACGAAGAACTTTCGCAACGGTGCATACTCAGGGAGAACACTTATACTTTGATAATTTAGTGAGGGGTCATCTTATAATGCTACCGTCAATCAAAGCAAGATAAGATGCATAAAGGATATACATCACATGCAATCAATATAAGTGATATGATATGGCCATCATCATCTTGTGCTTGTGATCTCCATCTTCGAAGCACCGTCATGATCACCATCGTCACCGGCGTGGCACCTTGATCTCCATCGTAGCATCGTTGTCGTCTCGCCAATCTTATGCTTCTACGACTATCGCTACCGCTTAGTGATAAAGTAAAGCATTACAGGGCGATTGCATTGCATACAATAAAGCGACAACCATATGGCTCCTGCCAGTTGCCGATAACTCGATTACAAAACATGATCATCTCATACAATAAAATTTAGCATCATGTCTTGACCATATCACATCACAACATACCATGGAAAAACAAGTTAGACGTCCTCTACTTTGTTTGTTGCAAGTTTTACGTGGCTGCTACGGGCTTAAGCAAGAACCAATCTTACCTACGCATCAAAACCACAACGATAGTTTGTCAAGTTGGTGCTGTTTTAACCTTCGCAAGGACTGGGCGTAGTCACACTCGGTTCAACTAAAGTTGGAGAAACTGACACCCGCCAGCCACCTGTGTGCAAAGCACGTCGGTAGAACCAGTCTCGCGTAAGCGTACGCGTAATGTCGGTCCGGGCCGCTTCATCCAAAAATACCGCCGGACCAAAGTATGACATGCTGGTAAGCAGTATGACTTATATCGCCCACAACTCACTTGTGTTCTACTCGTGCATATAACATCAACACATAAAACCTAGGCTCAGATACCACTGTTGGGGAACGTAGTAATTTCAAAAATTTCCTAGGCACACGCAAGATCATGGTGATGCATAGCAACAAGAGGGGAGAGTATTGTCTACGTACCCTCGTAGACCAATAGCGGAAGCGTTATGACAACGCGGTTGATGTAGTCGTACGTCTTCACGGCCCGACCGATCAAGCACCAAAACTACAGCACCTCCGAGTTCTAGCACACGTTCAGCTCGATGACGATCCCCGGACTTCGATCCAGCAAAGTGTCGGGGAAGAGTTCCGTCAGCACGACGGCGTGGTGACGATCTTGATGTTCTACCATCGCAGGGCTTCGCCTAAGCACCGCTACAATATTATCGAGGATTATGGTGGAGGGGGGCACCGCACACGGCTAAGAGAATGATCACGAAGATCAACTTGTGTGTAATGGGGTGCCCCCCTGCCCCCGTATATAAAGGAGCAAGGGGGAGAGGCGGCCAAGGGAAGGAGGTGCGCCCAAGGGGGGGCAATCCTACTCCAAGTAGGATTCCCCCCTCTTTCCTAGTCCAAGTAGGAGAGGGGAAGGAAGGGAAGGAGAAGGAGAAGGAAGGAGAGGGAGGAAAAGGAGGAAAGGGGGGCCAGCCCCTAGTCCAATTCGGTTTGGGCTAGGGGGGGGGGGGGCGTGCGCCCTGCCTCCTCTCTTCCACCACTTGGCCCATGAGGCCCATTGCTTCTTTCTCGTATTCCCGTGACTCCCCGGTACCCCCGAAAATACCCGAATCACTCGGAACCTTTCCGATGTCCGAATATAGTCGTCCAATATATCGATCTTTACGTCTCGACCATTTCGAGACTCCTCGTCATGTCCCCGATCTCATCCGGGACTCCGAACTCCTTTGGTACATCAAAACTCATAAACTCATAATATAACTGTCATTGAAACCTTAAGCGTGCGGACCCTACGGGTTCGAGAACAATGTATACATGACCGAGACACGTCTCCGGTCAATAACCAATAGCGGAACCTGGATGCTCACATTGGCTCCCACATATTCTATGAAGATCTTTATCGGTCAGACCGCATAACAACATACGTTGTTCCCTTTGTCATCGGTATGTTACTTGCCCGAGATTCGATCGTCGGTATCTCAATACCTAGTTCAATCTCGTTACCGGCAAGTCTCTTTACTCGTTCTGTAATACATCATCTCGCAACTAACTCATTAGGGTAGTGCAATCAATGGGGGTTTAATCTAGTTTTTATTTATCGAAATGACCTTTATAGATGATGAAAAACCTATGGGTTCATTCCATGAACATTCTATAAGGTGTCAGGCCCAAGTAACGGGTAGGCCCATGAAAACGACAGGCCCATGAACACATATTTTCATCATCTAGTTTTGAAACCCTAAATTTCAATTATATAAACCAGAACATACAATTCATTCCATCCGCCGCCGCCAACATCCTTCACTCCTGGTATCCATTAGCTTCCTCGTGTTCTTCTTCTCCAGTTGTCTAGTTGTTATCGCACCTTAACACTTACCCGGTTTCATCGGACAATGACATCTCATTGCCTTATTCGATTTTGACCATCTTTTCTTTGTGGTTACAGCCGCACATGTGGATCCGAGACTCCCGTGAAGAAAAATCGACACTTTCTTCCATATCCGGCAAAGCATGTCAAACATATAGTACATGTTTAGTGTCATTGTCTAGACAACTATCTAGAAAACCCCACACAACTACACCTTAGGCATCTTACCAAGGCCCCTTACTCCAACTACTTGCTACGGCATGAGCACCCCGAACGATGAGACGCCGTTGGTGGGGTCCAACGGCAAGATGCAGTATAAATCGCGTCGCAAAAAGTACGTGGTACATGGGAAATATTGTTACTCCAAACCCATTTTCTTACTAAATCAAAGTAAATTTTATTTTAGATCTATGTTATATAGTTCCTTTGGTCCTCAATCGTTATGGTATGTGGTTTATTTGTCATTGATAACACAAATAGTTTTAGTTTATCAGGTTATTTTCAAAAAACATTTTTTTTACTTTAGTATGAGTGATTTTCTTCATAGTTTGATTACACGACTTTTAAAATGAAGTTGAATCAAAATCCAGGTATATCAACTTGTTGTACAACTGTTCTTGCATTGTGGTAGATCTCTTAGTTTCATGAATCTTAAAGTGTTGCTTTAACCTTAAAAGTAGAAAATCAGGTAAAAAAAATTCTAGCAAATCCAGTAAAACAATGTCTTGGTTCAGTTCTACAAAAGAAAAAATTTGAATGTAAATCCAATGATAACATATAATCATCATCATCAACATCATCATCATCATCATCATCATCATCATCATCATTATCATTTTTTGCGAATGGATTTAAATCCCGTTGCAGAGGGCAATAGCCCCATCTCAGTTACCAACTCCAGTTGTAACCAGCATATATTATTAAATGTTTGCTATTGATATACTCGTGTCCCTATTTGCAATTTGAAAACCCATAACCAGCCATATCCCAACAACCCAATTACTGTACTACATTAAAGGTTTGCCAAAAAAGTGAAAGATGTAAATCCAAGTGTAAACTGCAGGTGCCCGATTAATTGCTTTCATTGATTCTTTTCTAATTTGATTTCCGTAAGAAGAAAATGTAAATCTGATTTCCACGCGGTGCTTAAACCCCAAATCTCTCAACTCTGAAGCGCGACAACGCCTGAGGTCGTCACGCGCCGGAGGTCACAGCGTCGCCCCATCACACCCGCAGAAGCCGAAGCCCGCGCCGCCACCGCCTTTGCAGACGCCGCCGCTGCCTCCAAGGCGTGGGCCGAGAGGAAGGGTAGGGGGAGGGGGAAGAGGAAGGCGGCGGCGGAGGAGGAGAAGCAGGCGCCAGAGCCCCAACCTCTCCCGGCGCGCATGGCGAGGCTGGGCCCGGGGCAGGGGTTAGGGTGCGAGGCGGCGGTGGGGTCGCTGGCGCCCAGCCGGAGCCGGGAGTACAAGCTCTGCAGCAAGCACACCGAGGGCAAGCGCCCGCTCTACGCCATCGGCTTCAACTTCATCGACGCCCGCTACTACGACGTCTTCGCCACCGTCGGCGGCAATCGTGTAAGCCTTCTGTGGTTGCCCGCCCGCTCGATCTTTGCCCTGTCTTTAGATTTGGGAATGTTCTTAATTGTGAGTGGTTGAGTGGGAGAGCTGGGGTTCCGGTGCGCGGGGCTCCATAGGAGGATCCGACCTTCGTGGAGGGATTCCGAGAGTCCCAAATTTTCCACAAAATGGAGGGGGCGACCGCTGGCCAAATCTCACCGTCGAGGCGAAGGGGTGAAGGAACCTCCCAAATAAGGTCGATGGAGCTGCAAGTTTGGCTTTTGGTTCGGAAAATTTGGACCTTCCATTGGGAAACAGGGTGCTGTTTGTCACAAGTTTTGATATATTGTATCTGATAACAACTTGCATATTCGATGGAACTTTCGATCAATATCACAGTGGAGGGAATTGTTGAGAATCTGGTCTTAGTTTTCTTTTCCATAGGCATCCGATCGTAGTTTGATTCGATTAATTGTTACTTCTGGTGTGCTCCTGTCCACAAGTTGACTCTGCTGATCTTGCAGGTGACGACGTACCGTGGCCTCCCCGACGGTAACTTGGCTGTTCTGCAAGCATACATTGATGCGGACGTAAGCTCCATTACAATCTCTAGAATCTTCAGTTTCTTATATTAGTTGTACTTTATCTGAGGCTGACGAGGTCTGCATCTTATCTCAGGATGCTCAGTCATTCTACACTCTGAGCTGGGCTTGTGACCTTGACGGCACACCACTGCTAGTGGCAGCAGGAAGCAATGCGGTCATTCGGGTCATCAACTGTGCCACCAAGAAGTTGTTTAAGGTATAATAGTAGTGCCAGAGTTTTCTACTTTCTTATTGTGGCCAACATGGATGAAGTTTCACTTGCATCAATCTACTATTCAGCTGCTTATTTGATGTCCTTTCTGAAAACAGTTACTTATTTGATAATTGTTGGTTTCTCTGTATTGTCCATTCGAGATGATGATTTGGACTTTTAGGAAAAGTTGTGTTTCTGCTATACAGTAGTTTATTTTTCTCCAAAAGAGATTGTAGATGTCAAATACTTTAGTACGTCTACCGTGGTGAAAACATTTACAACCTAGCAGATCTATTCTTCTGAGGTAGTCATGAAATTGGGCGTATATATTACGATTCAATATCCTAAACTAATGACTACGAACGTGGAGTAAGTTTCTTATTTCGTCTTACAAATCATGCAGAGTTTTCTTGGCCATGGTGATTCAATAAATGAGATAAGAACTCAACCATTGAAGCCTTCGCTCTTCATTTCTGCAAGCAAGGTTGGCAGATAACCTGGTGTGATGCTGGATATACCTATGCCTTTTACCTTTCTGATGCAGTTTATATGGCCTTATATAGGACGAGTCTGTTAGGCTATGGAATGTCCATACAGGTATCTGCATCTTGATTTTTGCTGGAGGAGGAGGTCACCGTAATGAAGTATTGAGTGTTGTAAGTTACACCTACCTCCTAGTGACATTGTTTTATATTGCCACTCACTTCACTGCCCAAAGATATGTTTGGATTGTGGCCAAAAGCTACCCTGCCAATATTTTGTTCATAATCAAAAACGTGGTCTTTGTTAGGATCATGGCCAATTTTCTGGCATGCCAATGCTCGTTTGGCCACCCTAGTTCAGTTTTCTTACCAATGTTGGCCAAATCATGGGCTAGCAAAATCATCACCAAAATTATAGCTAGCCAAATATGGGCTAAATCCGAACACACTCTAAATATAGCTGTCTGCCAGCTACTGGCATTATTGAGTCGATCATTTTAGTTAGTATCACTGAAAAATAAAACATGTTATCTCGGCACTAACTGTCCTTTCATTCATACTTCCGTTATATCAGGACTTCCACCCTTCTGATATCTACCGAATTGCCAGTTGTGGCATGGATAATACTGTTAAAATCTGGTCAATGAAAGGTTAGCGAACCATTTCATCAATCTTGCTTCCTATTTACATTTTATTACTGCTGATCACTGACATGGTTTGTTAATGTTGTCATAGAATTTTGGCCATACGTGGAGAAATCCTTTACATGGACTGACCTTCCATCAAAATTTCCAACGAAATTTGTTCAATTTCCGGTATGTTAAGTATCTCTCATCTTTGAACCTGTTATTATGCAAACTTTTAATATTGACCCTCTCAGCATCGTGCTGATATATCCCCTTTCAGCTCATGACTTCCGTGGTTCATTCTAACTATGTTGACTGTACTAGGTGGCTTGGTGACTTCATCCTGTCGAAGGTAAATTGCTCATTTTTGTAGGAGAGACGAATTAGTGTGAACACAATGTTAGAATGCTTACTGGTGCAAAATTTCAGACTATACCTGAAACCTGTAATATCATACTGTACAGTCTTTTTTATATATCAAAGATTAGTGTTGCCACCTGTTTTTCAATGCTGATATAATTATTTCCTGAAGGATGAGAACATCTGATCTGCTTCGCCTTGAACTTGCAGAGTGTTGACAATGAAATTGTTCTGTGGGAGCCAAAAATAAAAGAGCAGGGTCCCGGCGAGGTGATGCAGTTTTACTTTTAAAGAACTATAGGGCTTAACACATTATACTTTTGTACTGATACAAACTAGTTCTGGTTGTGCTCCTTTGTTTCTAAAAATGATGCCGGCCATACTATGTGCCTTCCTCTGAAGTGATTCTTCATTCCATATGCAGGGTAGCATTGATGTTCTTCAGAAGTACCCTGTGCCTGATTGTGACATTTGGTTTATCAAATTCTCATGTGATTTTCACTTCAATCAATTAGCAATAGGTAACACTTTATATTGAAATTATTATCTATCTGCGGACATATTTCTGTATTGTACTTATGTGATTGTCAACAAGTTTCTGAGGATGGCCGTACTTATACACGTGAAAAAACTGATATTTGTAGAAAACATGCTCGTGGCTAATCGTTTGCTCGTAAACAAACTCATCTACATGCACTTGATCAGGGTTAGATGAAATTCAAAAAGTATAACTCTTGTGGTTAATCGTTTGCTTGTAAACAGGCAACCGCGAAGGCAAAATCTATGTGTGGGAAGTGCAGGCGAGCCCTCCTGTGCTAATTACCCGGTAAGTTTAACCGAGCAAGTTCAGCTATTCCCAATTTCTCCTCCTCTGAATGTGGTGGTGGTGCTAGCTACTAACTTGTATGTTCCTGCATGTACACACTGATAATTTCCAGGCTGAGTAGTCCACAATGCAAAATGCCAATAAGGCAGACTGCAGTGTCGTTTGATGGAAGGTACATCACCATATTCCGTTCGCCACCTCTGATCCAGTAGTACCTCTCTAGCACTTATTTTTCCTGTACTTTTATGGATATAGCTTCTCATGTGTGCTATGTGCATCCATTATAGTTTTTCTTCTTTCAAGTCTGCTTTTGGTATTGGTGCATAAGAATTGCATGTCACTCTTCTTCTTTTCTTCCATTCTTCAGCACGATCCTTGCCTGCGGCGAGGATGGCAGCATATACCGCTGGGATGAAGTGGAACATCAAGCTGCAAAAAATTGAAGCAACTGAAAACCACCATCCGTGCGGCCCCATGGCAATGCCAGCCAGTTTGAGCTTGTCCTGGGTAGTTGTTGTGTTGCTTACTTAGTGGGTTGTACCAATTACTTAGTCCAGAAGTTGGGGTGAATGAGCTTATAATGTTGTAAGCTAGGATGTTGTTGATTCGATGATTTGCCGGATGTTTCTGTTTATTACATTGGCTGTATCATGTACCGAATGTGGGAGTTAAACTTAAATCCTCGTTCGCATTCTCATTGAGTTGGCGACTTGCCTGAATTTGGTGGCCTAACACATACCAGAAGGAAACACTTTGTTGGGTGAAGAAGAACCTCGTCATAATCCTGACGCTTGAATGGCCTAAATTTCTCCGTGGCGGTGCCGTCTTTGTGGTCTGGCCTGTTTGGAACGTGTGAGTTTTACAGGGGCTCTGCCGAAATTTGCCATTTCTGCATCAATCGTGGGAGATTCATTCATTCATGTTTTTCTTTTCAAATGTTTCCTCAACCTGAAGTCTCTCTAGGCTCTAGCTATGAGCTTCGTGGCTGGGCGAAGGCAAAGAGGAGGATATGATAGGAAAGGTGGCCGTTTGGCGCCAAAATGTGCCGCGGTCGGGTGGTCTTGATCGCGGGCCGAGAAAGAAATCGTCCTCGCCATTGGCGACCAAGTCACATGATATCTCTGAATAAAAAGTGTTTTTTTGACGGTTTTTCTGAATAAAAAGTTGAACCCGAAGGAACTTGGCTTGTGGGAACGCCCGGTCGATAGATTCTTGTAAAAATCTCTCACGCTGGTTTCTTTCCTTCCCACCAAAAACGATCCGATTGACAAAAGGAAACAGCACCCTCCAGACCCTCGTTGTTTCATCGTCGTCTCGCTAGGTTTCTCACACCCCGAGTTCTCATCCTCGCCGCCGCCGATTCTCGCTGCCAAGATCCGCTAACTAGCCTCCTCGGCGCTCCCTTCGCCTTCTTCCCCGCACCACCCTCCACCCTGCCGCCGCTCCGTCCTCCCGCCGGCGTCACCTCTCTGTCCTTCCCCCGGCGCCGCGGGCGCGCGGCATCCCTCGCTGCCGTGCCTCCCCTGCATCTCGGTCGCTGCCTCGGTGAACTGCACGTGGGTACGAGAGGAATGACGGGTCACGGGGCCACGACGCGTTACCTCACCGCCGCTGGTAATTTTGCATCTTCGCTTACTGATGAATATATTGTTGCTGTGAAATACTAGTAATTTTTCAGTTGCATGCTACTACTTGATAGCTGTGCGTGCGTTTAGATGTTTAGCTCCAAGCAAACCTTGCCGGCTCAACTTATTCACCATGAATTTCCTTTTATCTTGATGATGTAAGCACGAATTCTTACGGTTGCAAGCCAAGTGTATCATTGGGCAAAATGCCCACATTCTTTTGGAGACATGAATGCTGCCAGCACTACTCCTTCCTAGCCTTTTGATTTTGTTTTCACTATATCCAATTCCTCGATGTTCGTGCTTGGTAGGTTTACGGTGTTGGTTACCATAATTTGTGGAAATCAGTATCAAAAGGTGTCATTCTGCCGAATATTAAAATTATTCATGGGTACTTACCTTACTGGAAAAATGATGTACTGCTGGACAACTGTACAAGTATGCAGCTGTTCCTTTTCTCAACGTTCTTTTATCTTCATAACTCATCACCAAGGATCACTGGACATATGTTAATTGAATTAATCAACTACACTGGGTTATGTGTTGTCCCTCTTCGTCAGAGAGGTGTTTTTCTGTTTCTTATTTCGATGATATGCAGAAGTATTTAACCCTGCATTTTTTACCCATAACTTGGTTGTGCTAATTAATACGAAGCTACATGAAACTTATATGTGGATTCGATTTGGACTTTCTGTACATAGCCGAGTTCAGATTCATTGTGAGCTAAACAGTAATACTTTTAATCATCAGTAACTTGATAAATTTTGACCTAAAAACACATATTCACGTAGTTATCTAACTAATTATTTTACATTTATATAACCTTACAAGTTGGATACACACATTTCTCGTGGCACCATCGGCCAACTGGGATAACAAACTAACCAGTGCATGAAAATCTGAAGAGGCACAAGGAAAGTGAGTCACCTATGAGATATGCACAACAGCCCAAGCCTGAGGCAGAAAAGTATTAGGAATTTAGGATTCATTCGTTGTCTTCCTTTTGCTGGTTTTTAGCGAAGGTGTATTCACGTGAGCCGATCGAATACCTTCCTTTTCTTGCCTTCAACTGTCTGATGCATATTGCTTATGTTTTTTTCAGTCATCAATTTACCTTTCCCCACAAAAACAAATGGACCTTTGCCATTTCTTTTGCAGATAATGGTGATGAGCTCAGCAGCAGCATCGTTGTTGGTAAATACCATCGGCACTTACAGTCTACTCCACCTACAAAGAGCTATGGGAAGGTGCACGCTTCAGTGTCCTCAGTCCTAATTTTCTATGTTACTATACTTTTGTGGTGACTATTTACAAATGTTTTGACAACTTTCCTGGTTATACATAGGGCGCTGCAGCAGCATTCGCTAAAGAGCTAGGCTATTTTAACACAGGCAAACATGTTTCCCAAATGAAAGATCGGAAAAGAGCAACAAATCCCATGAATGATGAACCAAAAAGGCGTACAGTTTTTCAAAATATTTCTGAGAAACATTTAGATATGGATGATAGCAAGTTAGATTTGAAGTTCTGTACAGAAAGTCGACAGAAAAAAAAACTTTGTTGAGCCAAAGGACTTGTCCCATAAACTACAGACAGAAGATCTTACTTTTGGGAGTTCGACCAAGAGGTAATCACTCCTGTTTGCTGACCCAGGTCATCTGTTGTTTACCTTTAGAAGTTCTATGAACTATGTTATCTCTCTTCTCTAGCATTTCGTAGGTTTTGCTTACGCATCTGAGACTTTTCACTTTGTTGTACGACATTTACGCCTTGTTATGTTATTTTGATTGTGCGCAAATCCATTTATTGATTATTTCTCCTTCTATTGCCACTCTGTCAGCTATACTAATTTGCATTCCATCTATAAATAATATGAATATAAACTTGAACTGCAGCGATGGCAGTGGTAAACGTGTTTGAAACCACTATTGCTTGTGCCGTGCTTCCGGTCTCCCATTGTTACCCCACATAACATTATGTTTCTCTGATAAATTTACTGATGTGCAGATGGTACCATTCCAAGAATCGGACCTACCAATATGGGAGGTTAAATACAGGAAACGAGAATAAGGTGAATACACTGACAACTCTTTCGCGCCTTTCTTTGATAGTTCTGTGGTATTGTTTTTTCCATTCACTCCTTGTGAAATGAAATCTGTTATTTGTACTAAAATTCATATCCGCATCTAGCATTATACTTATTATGGTGTAACATTATTGGTACAAATGCAAAAGTTGTTTGTATTATTTTATCGAGCACTATGTTTTCTGAATATATTTTTCTTAGCATAAACAACAGAGAAGCCCTATACTTTGAACAATAAATGTTTTGGGTTAAAACCTCTATCTGCCAAATACAAATAATGGTCATGCAATCATATAAGGTGTTTAGATTTTATTTACCAAGAAGACCGTCATTGCTGTGTATGTACTTCATCATTTATTTCATTGATATTAGCTGCAAATGTTAGACATGAATTAAGATTTCTACATATGTATTCCAATGATGTTTTTGTCATTTTCAGGAATTGGTTTTCTTCAGTGACGAAGATACAAAACCCGCTAAATCTGTTGATGTCAAGGTGGCTAATAAACGGCAAATTGGTAACACAATAGGTAATGATGTTCTTGCCTACTAACATTTCATCACTATATGTTAAAATAGCGACCAATTATAAAATGTAGTGGAAATTTGCATTGTTGGATCGATAGGTATTAC